ATCGAAATCAGCATTTTGTGTAGCCACCACGCACCGCAATAAGCGCTGCTACACGACTCGGCATGGTGTCAAGCAAATTTTAGATGTCTGTCTGAGGAAAAGCATTCCATATAGTTTGTATGCGTACCCAAAGTTCGTTTGTAGAAGCAACAGGACGAGGATCGCGAGCGAGGCACCGAACAACGAAATGACACACATGTTCAAACGGTGACGTATCTGGGGAATACGCAGGCCAAGGAAGAAACTGTACCTGCCGCAATGCAAGGAAGGATTGAACAGTCCTAGCAATAGGAGGGCGGCCATTGTCTCGTTGAAATACAGCGCCTGGTAAGGCTTGAAGGAAGGGAACAACTTGGGGCTGTAAAACATCACTAATGTACCGGTTGTTGTTCAGATTACCCACAATTCGTAGCAATTGAGATCGTCCATGATATGCTATGGCACCCCAGACCATAACTCCGGGTGTTCGTCCACTGTGGCGCTCGAAAATGCACTCCGGAAGGTGGTGTTCACAGGCATCGCTTCTGACACGAATGCGGCCATCATGGTACCACAAAATAAAGCGGGATTCGTCAGAAAACACGACATGCTGCCAATCAGCACGCCAGTCCTTATGCTGATTGGCCCATTGTAGCCGCAGACGGCTATAGTTTAGCGTGATGGTGATCCTGTATAAAGGAGTCCACGCTGCAGTTGACGTCTACGAATTAATGAAGCACACAATGAAACACCTGTAGTTATTGACCACTGTGCTGCCAGTTGTCTAGAGGGAGCCGTACGGCCTGTCAGTGCCATGCGGACCAGGTGTCTATCATCGCGAGCTGACGTGACATTTCGGGGTCCACTCCCGGATTTCCGAGTTGTCTGACACTCGTCCGTCCTCTCCTTTCAAACACGTATCACTGTGCTGCTGTCACGCTGCACACGAGCGGCTACTGCACGATGAGACAATCCAGCTTCACGAAGGCTGATGATTCTCCCCCTTTCAAACTCCGTAAGTTGGTGAAATCTCGCTCTCTTTCGTCGAAGAGGCATAAGTAACGTCTGAGCTAACGTTTACCACTAGCAGATAACCACCGATAACCATACACGCCTCGCTACAGCCGTCTATTTATTCGGATCTATCCTCCGTTCAGAGGGCGCTGCTCAGCATACGCATGCGTTACGGGTCTGAAATTCTGATCATTTGCATATTATGCTCTACTTCACAATTCCTGAAAATTTCAGCTCACTCGCATAAGTCCTTCATGGTGTTGCAATTTTCACAAACATGAGTTTACAAAACCCTGTATATCAAATTTGGGTACTTTTTCTTGGAGAATCTAAATATGTAGTAGACTATCTTCTATTCAGTTTCTACTTAAATTGCTTCCTTATTTCATCTGCTGGGAGGTATAGTTAGGTATAAATGAAGACACCTTTGAAAATATTTCACACCTATATTTTTAGATTTTTGATCCGAAACCATTTTTTTAAGATTTTTGATGCTTTCCATAATATTTGGACACCCCTGTACATTGTATCCTTTTGGAATATAAGACGACTTAGAAAAATGAAAATAGGATACAATACTCTGAATTTATTGTTTGGAATTTTTAAAGTAACTTTATATATGAAAGTTACTAATTTGGTGCACTGAAATGTCATGTGCTGTAATTCACTTCTCGCAATTTGGATATGAAAAGCAATTCCAATGTAATAGTCTTTATTGTTCAAATAAAATGCATAAATCATTGAAAAAAATATTTGATAGCTATCATAAATTTTTTCTTTAAAGCACTATTTAATTCTAACATAGTACACTTATTAATTCTAACACTGTAGTAACTTAGAATTAAGTTTAAAAACCAAGTCATGATTTTTATGTTTCAATAAATCTATCATTTTCTCTTTTTATTATTATCAATACACAATACTTTTATATTTCTCCCATTGTTCAAATAGAAGCGCTGTGTAAAAAGAAAGTCTTTTTATTAAAATATAAGATTACAAACTATAACAAATTGAATTCAACTTCTATAAAAGGAAAAAATTTTAATTCAAATTATTACTTTTGTTCACAACAATTACTTATAATTGCCAAAAGCAAGTAAAAGCACAATAAAAATCCAACATCACAAACATGCATTATTTTATTTCAACTTTAAGTAAAACTTGTTGCTACAGTAATAGATATTTCAAATAAGTCTTAGCCAAACCTTAGTTAATACCCAAATTATGTTTCTCTTCTATTTAATAAGCAATATATAATTTTTACATTTTTAATTATCACTCAGTGAGTTAAACAAATATGCACAACTCTTTTATATAGGATTAACATAACAAATTATTTTTTTAGCATTAAACATGTAACAGTTTTGTCAATCGGCAAATTCAAAAGCAATGATCGTTTGACGTTAATTATCAAAATTCAGGCTTCGTTGGCTTTAGAGGCCTTATATGTTTATACCTCTTCTGGTAGTTGCAGTGAATAGCCAGGAGGCAGAGTGATCGCAATGTACGTCAAAGGTAAGGAATATGCATAAATTTATCATTCCTAGTAATTTTTAATGTTAAGCATTTGGTTGTTGGCATGAATGCTGTGTAAATTAAGTCATAGGATAAATGCGGCTGGGTGCCTGTTGTTTGATCTTTTCTTTTTTTTCCCTTCGTCCCTAACCTATTAAGAAACGACAGTGTTCCGTTCAATGCTCAACAGCTGTGTTTATGGAAACATGAGGTCCTTGAGTTCTTAATAACGTCATTAAGCATGCTCACTTTGTTCTACGTTGCCATTTTGATGCGCTGCACTGCTTTGTGCAGCCAGAGAGCATTGGTTGTGATTTCATGATGTCCTAACCAATGAACTTTAACAACCATAATGCTGTGACACCTGATGTGTTTTTAGTTATGAGTGTGACTGAATTTGACAGTCTCTAAGTGTATGCCAAGTTCACCGTTTTCTGCTATTTATTTGGATGATCAAATCTGCAAAATTATTTTGTATTCTTCTATGTCTTAGTCATAAGTGTGTTATGATTAAGTAGTAGGGTTAAGTTCATTTATTACTCATGAAATAATTTATATCGGCCAAATATTTTATTAAATACAATTCAAAGAATATTTTGTTTTGAAATTTCATTTCATTTTAAATAGTTTAAAAAGAAAAGTTATATTTTTTAAGATGCAAAAAACTATCTTTGTAATGAAATTAAAGAAAGGAAATAAGAATTTTTTTTTTTTTTTTAACAGTCTTAGAGATAGATTACTTTAGATTTCTAAATATGAATTTTTATGTAACTGCAGAAAAAAATACTAAAAGACTACTGATTATTGAGATATATCTTTTCCTTTGTGTTCCGTAGGTTGTATACAAACATATAAATTTTGTTGAATACAAACCTTTAATAAATCAGAAAAAATAGCAAAATAACAAAAAAAAAATAAGTAGCAGATTTTTTCCTCTCCAAATCTTTGAAACATAACTGTTATGCTTTTTTCTCTTTCTAACATGTTATAATTTTAAAATAAGCCTTTCTAGCTTTTTCTAAAAATATCAAATTATTATTGTCGATTTATTTTTACACACTGAAATATTTTTTTAAAATTAAATAAAATTAAGTTTTCAGCAATATAATTCTTTACGGAATTTCAACATTTACCTGTAACTCTTTGCTGTCTTCAGATGGATAGTAAGTCACTTCAGCAGCGGTAAAATTATATAAACCAGTTCTCTTAGGTCTATAGATTACTGTGTGAGACAAATTGCTACCACTACACATAAGTTAAGAAATTTTTTTTCTTAAAAATGTAAATAATATATTTGATCTTGAAGAGTTTTAGTTCCTAATTTTTCAAATGATTAACAATATATGTAAATAAATAATTTAATAATATGAAATAAATGATATATTTAGAAACACATAATAAATGAATGAATTAAACAGAAAGATCACATTTCAACCAGCTAATTTTAAAAATCACTCCCTGCACTGCCAGTAAAAAGCTAGATAAAGATGTAAAATTTATATATGCAACCCAACCTAGATTCCATATTTAGCACTCTATTATCTAACGGAAATGGTAGGAATGACACATAATTTCAACCCTGGACAGATGATGTGGACAGCACATGAGATGGTATCCTCCAAAGCAGAGGCGTGAATGATGCCTTAACAGACTGTGCCATCGGAGCAAAAAGTAAACTTTATGTATTTTGGGGAGAACAAAGAACTGTGGAAATCAGCATATTTTAAAATAAAGATCAAGAAATTAACAGAAAATTTTCAAACGTATAAAAACATATAATATAATAGATAAAGTAAAAAAATTCCACTGTGGTATAGCATAAAATTTCAATAAAAAAATATTTTTGATACTGAAAGTATGTATTTGAAAGCCTGTCACCGAATTTAACTAAAATATTTTTAAAAGTAAATCCTAAATTATAAGTATTAAAAAAAATAAAGACATAAAATAAAAAATTATACATAAGAACATCAAAAATATTCAATAGGAATGATTTTTTTTAAAAAATTTGTCCTTATGAATACTTAAGTCAATAATTGCAAATAGGTTTTTAGGCTGAAAGCAAAAGGTACATCACATAATGACAATAGCCTCTTTATATCATTTCTTGACTAAAAAGTGATTGATTATTGAAGTTTTGACTATGTTGTACCTACAGTAGGTTATGTGGAATAGAACTTATTTTCTAATAAGTAATCCTAAATTTTTCTTTAACAAAGTTCTGATTTTGAATATGAGTGCTAAATGTATCTCTTAGCACTGTGATAGCAAACAGAAAGATCAAGTCCAGGAAGGTCTGAATAAACCTTAGCCAAAGCATCGGTAAACTCAGTACCCATGATTCCACAATGAATTGGTATCAACAAATGATAAAGATTAGAAAAACATCAGTTTATAAATTATCTAATTAATATTTTGCATTGTACAAGTTTTAAAGATTATAGCTAAAAAATTTTAAAGTTACAATTTTTTTTTAAATTCACAGAATTTATAATATGTAAAAAAAAAAAAAAAGGATACGCTGCAAGTCTGTCAAGTTTCATGCTAGGAAAGCCAATTATCAATTCAAAATCTTGAAGTGGAAAACTATTATCTTTTAGCTGGACATTAACAGCAGCACTAAAAGAGATACAAAATGTTAAAACAAAATCTGCACTTTTAATTTACATTTTAGTATTATTTGGATAATTTAAAATTCAATGAATGTCCCAACTTTTATTAAATAGTATTTCAAATTCCAAAATGCTTCATTTCAATTGAGTTATTCAGTTACAAAACACATTATTTTCTGTTTAGGAAAGAATAAGTTGCAGAGAGTAGATGCTTAAAACTTTTATTGTTAATACTTGTTAAACAATATATATATATATA